CCCATCTGAAGTGGACAGAAGTAGCGCCTGCTTCAGATGCGGAGAAATTGGCCACAGACACGTCGACTGCACGGCTACGCCAAGATGCCTCATCTGCAGCGCAGCCAATAGGAAACACGACCACGTGATGGGCAGCAAAGCTTGCTCCCCACCACCCCCAGGGAAAAGAGGGCGCCCGTCCGAGAACAGGACAAACAACAAAGAGGGACGGACAGTGGTCCGAGAAGAGGCTAATATGGAACACTAATGTTTAGTAACAACCATATTAGCTTCATACAGGGGAATACGAACCACTGCGCCCGCTCCCAGGACCTTTTCCTTGGAACGGCGGGCCAGTTGGGTTCGGATGTGGCGGTGTGCTCGGAGCCGTACGCGATCCCTACTAACAATGATCGGTGGCTAGGGGACACTCATGAGTCAGTGGCGATCACAATTCTGAACAAGGCGCCAGGTGTCCCGCCACTGATTCTGAGGGAGAGAGGCGAGGGTTATGTTGCGGCTTGGTGGGGAGACATCACCATAATGGGGATATACTTCTCCCCCAACCGCGGCATAAGAGAGTACGAAGAGTGGGTAAGTAGGCTGGAGAGAGCCACGCTTAGGCTTCTCACTACCAAAACAATCGTCATGGGGGACTTCAATGCAAAGCACTCGGCTTGGGGTTCCCCTGTGACAGACAGGGAAGGACGACTAATCCACGAATATGCCACTACCGTAGGATTGGTCGTAGCTAACAGGGGCAGGACTTTCACCTGTATAAGACCACAGGGGGGGTCCATCGTAGACATTACGTTTACGACCCCCACACTGGCCCCGCTTATACGAGAGTGGAAAGTGGACCTGATGGAAACACTATCAGACCATCGGTTTATACGGTTTGAGTTGTTTCCACAGGCCACAAATCTACCCGCAAGCAATACGGAGACAGCCCCTTCTTTCCCAAAATGGGCAATCTCCAAATTGAATGCGGACAAGTTGATCGAGGAGGCCAACTTCCAAGAGTGGCTCATGGAGTCCAGATCAGTGCCGCTACAGGAAGTTGGAATTGAGGAACAGCTGGAGACCCTGAGGTGTGCGCTAACTGCCATCTGTGACGCGGCAATGCCCAGGGTCAGAGGCACTCCAAAGAAAAGGGGAGTCTACTGGTGGTCCTCGGAAATCGAGGACCTCAGGGCAGCGTGTCATAGAGCGCGACACGCGCTCCAACGCTGCAGGCGAAGACGATCGCATACACCGGAAGAGGAGGAGGTCCTTCGATTGGAGTATAGCTCCAAAAAGAAGGACCTCGAAAATGGTAAAGGGAATGCTAAGGAAAGAGCCTGGCAAGAGTTCCTGGAGGAACTCAATAGAGATCCGTGGGGCCGCCCGTTCCGTATGATAAGGAACAGGCTGCAAAGGCAGGCCCCACCAACAAGCTCTTTGGAACCGGAACTCTTGTCCAGGGTGGTAGATGGCCTTTTCCCGGAAAACCCCCCCCAAACAAGACCACTAATGGTCCTGCCGAACAGGGAGGAGAGAGATGAGGAGCCCATCCCCCCGATTTCGCAGGATGAGCTAGGCGAAATAATCATGAAGAGGAGAGGTACCAAAAAAGCCCCTGGACCAGACGGTATCCCAGGACGCATTCTGCCTATGGTGCAGAGATACCTAGGAGAGGGCCTGCAGAATTTACTGAACAACTGCCTAAAGGAAGGCATTTTTCCTGCGGAGTGGAAGAGGGGCAAGTTATGTCTGCTGCGTAAGGAGGGGAAACCCCCAGATCAACCCTCAGCCTACCGCCCCATTGTCCTGTTGGATGAAATGGACAAAGTCTTTGAGAGGGTGATCGTGGACAGAATAGTTGCGCACCTGGACTCGGACGGGCCCAATCTTTCCGGCAGGCAATATGGCTTTAGGAAGGGTAGGAGCACCATCGACGCGATTGCCGAACTCCGCAGGCAAACAAAGGCAGCAGAGGAGAGGGGGGAGAGAGTGGTAGCGGTGTCTATCGACATCAGCAATGCCTTCAACTCCCTCCCTTTCCCATGCATCAAGCAGGCCCTCGAATACCACAACCTCCCAAGATACCTGACCAAGATAGTCAACAACTATCTGGAGGGAAGAGTTGTCGTATTTCAGAATGCAGACGGGAGACTCGTCTCTAGAGAGATGAGGTGTGGGGTTCCACAGGGGTCGGTGCTGGGACCGCTCCTGTGGAACATGGGCTACGACTGGCTCCTGAGGGGACGCCTCCCCCGGGGGCTGAGTGTCATTTGCTATGCAGATGACACCTTAGTCGTAGCCAGAGGCAGCAGTTTCGGGGTGGCCAGAGTCATCGCGGAGGAAGGGACCGCCCACGTGATCGAGAGGATCGGAAGACTGGGCCTGAAGGTCGCGGTTGAAAAAACCGAGGCAATAGTCTTCCACGGCCCTAGAAGAGGACCGCCTGCGGGTGCACAAATGAGGCTGGGAGGGGAGATAATCCAAATGCGGCCAAGTATTAAGTACCTAGGCTTGATACTGGACGGCCGCTGGAAATTCGAGCACCATTTTAAGCAGCTCTCCCCGAAAGTCCTTAAGGCGGCCTCAGGACTTGGGAAATTGCTGCCAAACGTGGGAGGTCCTGGCTCCGTGTGTAGGAAACTGTTTGCCGGGGTGGTAAAATCTATGGCCTTGTACGGGGCACCGATTTGGGCTGCCTCTCTCAATGAGCCCAATCGGATTCTCTTGATGAGAGCCCAACGGGTCATAGCAAACCGGGTTGTAAGGGGGTACAAGACCGTCTCTGTGGCTGCCGGCTGTGTGCTGGCGGGGATGCCTCCCTGGGACCTGGAAGCCCAGGTACTAAGGGAGGTATACCAGGGAAGGGTGGAGGCTCTCGCAAGGGGGGAGCCGGCCACACTAGAAGAGATGGTCGCAATCCGAAGGACCGCGAGGGACGCCCTGCTGGAGAGCTGGATGCGTAGGCTCGAAGACCCGGTTTACGGGTCTAGGACCATCAACGCTATCCGGCCAGTATTCCAGCAGTGGCTAGAGAGGAGGAGGGGAACACTCACCTTCAGGCTGGTGCAGGTGCTTTCAGGCCATGGGTGCTTTGGCCAATACCTGCATCGCCTACAGAAGGAAGAGTCCCCGCGCTGCCATCACTGCGACGCAGCGGTCGACACCGCGCTCCATACGCTCGCTGAGTGTAGCGCCTGGGCGGAGCAGCGGAGGGTGATGGTAGACGCACTAGGGAGTCGGGATCTCTCCTTGCCCAGCGTGGTAGCTGCCATGCTGAATGACGAGAGATCCTGGCGAGCGGTCGCCTCCTTCTGCGAGGACGTCATGTCCCAGAAGGAGGCCGCGGAGGGAGCCCGGGAAAGAGAGGCCCCGGCTGGTTCCCTCCGCTGCAGGGTGAGAGGGGGGAGGCGTAGGCGTTATGTCAACGCATCCACCCGCTCAACCTGAGTAGCCAGTCTTGCTCCACGGGGTCGCTGGTGGTGGTGATCGGCCGGCGGGCCGGGCGAAGGGCAGAGCTGCGTGCTCACATTGCCCTCCGTCGGGGCCCGTCGGCCGTCTACCCGCCGCCCGCGGGCGCCGCGGCTCTCACCGTCCCTCCTAGGAGGGACGACTGTTGAGTAGCGGGCTCGCAAGGCGATTTCGTGGACCAAGATGATCCCCGTCGTGGGCGGTCGCAGGGATGTCACCGGGGAGCGGAACGCTTGTCCACTGGACGGGCGGGACGTATCCTCCGGGGGCGGGACCCTGTGACTGCATTGTGGTGACGAAGGAGGCAGGCGCGGTGTTGCACCTGGGGCGCGTTACCGCGGCCCCACCACCACTGGTGGTGGGACCGCGCCCCGCGCCTCGGGTGCGATCTGAGTGTGTGTTAGAATGTGATGTGTGTAAGGAAGGAGAGTGTATGACAGTGGAGAGTGAGTGATTGTAAGTGTGTGTAGTGATGAATGTAAGTGATGAATGAATGTATGTGTAGATGTATGTGTATATGAAAGTGTATAAGTGAGTGAGGAGTGACATGTGAAGTATGTTAAGAGAATGAGGTGAGGAATGAAGAGATGTGTAAATGTGCGCGCCTTGCCAACAACGTCATCGCGACTGCGGTGCCTTTACGGGCAGTTGGGTGGTGAGGCTCATCATTAGGATGGGTCGGGCGCCTGGCTGTTGGTGAGGGAACTGCAGACACGACAAGGGGATCCGGGTACCCTCTCGTCGCCCGGAGCTGCCCGGCCGAGTCATGCACACATGTTGCATGGCACGGCCGGGCGGCGCCGGGGGATGACAAGGGCCCGTTGGCAGCGGGAAGGGTGTGTCACAGAGGGTGACACCCCAACAAAGACGGCAAGGGGGTTGGGATCGCGTATTAACGCATCCCATCCTTCTGTGGATCGGCGGGACGAGGGCTGACACCCCACCCTGCACCCTGGCGAGGCTAGCTCGTCGGGACGGTCCACCGTCGGGGAGGAGTTGTTATTCACCCAAGCTCCTCCCATCCCGCAGAGGGCGACTTCTCTCTACCCCCTGGAGAGGAGTCCCAGCGCGGATTGAGTCTGGGCCCTCCTTGCTGGATACCAGACTCATCCATTCGCGTGAGGTGAACCGCAGCGGGTTTTACCAGGTAGGGCCTTCACTTACTGCCCTTCTCAGGGCGGCCTGTCCTTTTCAGGACGGGGGTGGAGGAGGAGCCCTGGTTTAAGGCTTAAGGTGCATTTCCCCTGCGTTATCAAAAAAAAAAAAAAGGGTGTCCCTTATATGGCATTTTTTTTTATTTTTATTAAATCGAAATGCATACCCCCTATATTTTTAATAAATACAAAAATATACTCAAATATGAAATTTCATCATTCTAGCATGATCGCAACCCGTGCCGACCGAGCTACAAAGTTAATTAAAAATTGTGTTTTGTCCTAATATTTCGGTCTGTTATAGAACTAATATAAATGCAACAAATTCAGTGGAAAAGAATTAAAATGAAATAAGAACAACATAAATCTTTATTTAAAAACATAAAATAATAACACTTAGCCGGGGTAACTTGTCTTCAGTGTACTTTTTTTACAGTCCGGATACAAATTTCTATGTTCCTGAACACAGCGCAGCAAGAACTGTTTTTGCTCTTCTTCGGCCGTAATAAGTCCGTTAAAATCTTGCATTAATTTAACAGCTCTTTCAGCAGTGTCATTTACAACCTTCAAACGACTTATTCTTTTTTTAAGTTTCCAGAAAAGCAACATTATTATTCCAAGAAGATACATCTTCCCCTAGAAAACTGTCGTTGATCTGCAGTCGAGAAAAAAATTGTTTGCTCTTTTCCGACACAAAATCATCTAGCGTTTTATCTGAAAAAAAAACAAGTTAACAAAAAAAAAAACAGACAGGAAATGCAAAAAAAGAAAAAAAAAATAGCTTACCGAACAACTTTTGGGTTAGTTCTTCCTTTGATGTTTCATAGCGTTTGCCAAAATCTGAGCTTTTATTTCTGTTTAAGTTGGCAATCATTTTTATCTTGGTTTGGTTACAAACATCATCATCAAAAAGTGATAGAATGACTGCCTCTTCAGACAGATACCACAAGTGATGGCTAAACTTGCTTATAGAAGCTTTAGAAATTGTTGCGTCAACTTTTTCGTACTCTTTTAACATCTTCAAGAAGCACAAATCTTGGTTAGGTGCTTTAGTTGCCACTGTGCATTTGAGCCAAGGTTTAACATACAATGTGACGATAAATAGGCAAACATCTTGTAGGGCTTTTTTGTCCTGCGCAGTCATTTTTAATTGTGACTGAAGTAAACATATTTTTAAAGAATAGATCGCCTTCGCCATCCATCGCGCCTGATGCATAGCTCCGGGGGGCCTGAGTTTTAATTTCTTCTCCATATCTCCTCCCAAAAATACTACGCATGGTTCAACTAATTCGCGATAATCGTCTCTTATAAAATCTTTGTCTAGTTCTGACTTATAAAACATTAAAAAAGATGTAATGTTTGTTTCGGCAACATGTTCTTTTACGTAATCAAGGTATAATTTAATGTTGCTGGAATCGATGTTATTCCAATTGTCTCTGAATTTTTTGAAGATTGGAATATCTGGGCTACTAGTTATTTGTTTTATCCTGGTTTCGAAGACAGATTTTAGAACCAATTCATAAATATGATGACGACAAGTGAAAAGCAACAGTTCCCTTTCTTAAGTCTGCTCCAAAACAGCACAAGCTCCATTGAAACGGCCAGTATTCGAAGCTGTTGTGTCGCAGCACATTATTTGAACTTTATTATGAAGATTCCAGTCAAAAAGAGCAGTTGCGACAGCTTTAGCTTGATGTTTTCCAGAAGAACTCTCTAGTTTAGGCACTGCAAGAAGCTGTTCTTTATCGTCAAATGAAGCAAGAATTGGCAAACGTTCTACTTTTGAACTTCGTACATTCAATCCGGGTAATAGTTTTCCATCCCAATGGATTGTGACCACGTCAGGCACATTGTTCTGAAAGTCAGTTTTTATTGCTTCTGCCCTGGATTTTCTCGTCTGAGTTCTGATTCGCTGAATCGAGGATTTGTTTATGGGGAAATCATCACTGCTCAGACCAAGAGCTTCTACGACCGCATGAAGAATGTAAACGGAGTCTCTTATGCTTAACTGGCATCGATCTAAAGCTGCGACTAGTTTAGGTGTTATAAGATTCTTTCTACCTCTTTGTGATTTTTTGTCATGACAGGGAACGCTTGGCAAGCTGAATTCAGAATTCCAAATCTGTTCTTCTTCCAAATCTTCTAGACATTCTAAATTATTTGTAGTAGAAGAAGATGCAACAGCCAATAACTCTCTTTGTCTAACACTCCTTTCCTCTTCTTCCAATCGTCTTTGCCTAGCTCTTTCTTCTTTGTCCGCCAATTTTTTGTCTACACCGCCTAAGCATCCAGGTCGACCTGGCTCTCTCTGTTTCTTTAAAAATATTTTGTCTTCCTCTATCTTCATTCTCTCAAAGGCATCAGCATGTGCAATATCAAATAAGTTATCAATGTCAATTTTAAAATTATTTTCACGATTCCTAAAAGTGACCTGAGTTTTCTTACAATTTTTTTCTCCAAACATTATATAAATCAACAAGTTTCTTCACACAGTTAGGAAATGCCTTTGTGGGAATCTTGCCTTTTCCCAAAATATAATGCACTCCCTAATCACAAGATTTGCGCTTTCACTGACAGTTAGCTTAACTTCGCGAATATTGTAAATAAGACACAGAGAACTTGTCGATTAGATGGTAATTTTGCACCATTTATTTGATGGCTAGGCATTCCGACAAGGAAAATATTTTGTTTATCACTCCGCAATTTCACCGACATCTTTATACTTTAAATAATAGCGCACTAACAATCTTAAAATCACGAGTGAAATGATAAATGAAACGCGTAGTAACAGATCGCAGTGCGGTACCCTCGCTACTTGTATGAACGAGTTTAAATCACAAGTCGGCACGGGTTATCGTTTGTAAAACGAGCTAATATTTTTTTCTAGACTATATTGGGTTAGTACGAAAGTTTTAAGAAGGTATGCGTTAAAATAAATCGAACTTGAAATTTAAGGGACACCCTAATGTACACGGCCCAGGCGTAGTTTATTTGGTAAAAAACGAATTAAATAAATTTAATAGTCTTTCATTTCAACCTTACTTTCTATAGGTAAAGTACATTACATCTTTACCGAATGTGTTTTGGGTATTTATTTATTGGTATTATGATGATATTTAACTTATTGATAAGTTGACTATCTGACTATTATTACGAAGGGTCGGTAAAATGAATAAACGTGTTCGCAGGTATGAGTTTACTTTCGGACTGCTTGATGTTGAAGTGCCACTTACAAATTACAAAAGTCATAGATTACGTTGCCACAGAGTGATAAAGATCATTACACAGATATGCCACACATCCATAGGTTTTTACTTCTATTCTCTAAATAAATGACTATATTATACAATGTTATACTCGTACTTAGTATATAAATTACTGCATTCCAAGAAAACAAAATCATGCTGTGATCATGCCTCCAAAAAAGTATCGATACTGAGTAGTATCGATACTTTTAGATTGATACTTTTCGGGTATCGATACCTAGGGTCGATACCGATACCGATATTCAGTATCGTGAACAGAAGCCGATACTTCGAACCCTAACCATGTCATTACGAGATCAATACATTATAAATAAAGAGAGAAAAAAAAGAAACTATGGTCTTATAATGATAACATAATCATTTAATAATAACGGAAGCAAGATAATTTTTGATATATAATGAGTTAAGAAGTAATCACCTATCCAGTTGTTGGATCATCTCAAGTCCAAGCATTCTTATCTGTTATATAAACGGATACCTTATAGTAAGTTTTTTTAATAAGTATTATTTTAATAGTAGATTTAAACTGCATATCTAATTGTTGTATTTTGCTTGGGACCTTATTGTAGAAGCGCACACAAAGACCTCTGAATGAGTTATTAACTTTTTGTAGTCTAGTGACAGGCACCGTTAATTTATTTTTATTTCTCGTATTAATATTGTGTACATCACTTTTTATAGAAAACAAACTAATATTTTCTGTGCTGAACTACCAGGTTTACAGTATGAGCGAAACAAGGAAAATGTTGCCAAGCTGTTAAGCGATAACTGCTACGATATTTGCCACATAATCTGATGCCAGCTATTTTGTTTGAAATTCCCCAACTTTCTGCTGTATTCGTTAAAAAAATTGATAAATTTTCAGCTGTATGTCGTTCATTAAATTCATTACAGGCCAACAAAACCGATTCAAGCATACAATTTTGGTTGACATAGTGAGCTGTCAGTGCGATAAAACTCGTATTATTTTTTGATGTTCAACCGTCAGTGGTTAAGCATATGGCTTCGGCTTCTGTTTGCACCTGCAATAGTACTTTATCTTTTGTACTTTGGTATAGTCTTGGTACTAAACTGGATGATATGGTTTTGCGAGAAGATAATGTGTAGGTAGGTAATATTTATTTGTAAATCTTCTTAAACTCTTCCTCTTCAACTATTGCAAACGAGTGATAACCCTTGACAATAAATTTTACAACTTGTTCATCGAGCTGCTTGGTTTTGCTGATAGGTAATGGTTTCAATGACACGGCGAAATTGTTAATTTTTGACTGTACTTGTGATTGTGTGTTTTCCGAGTAGTTGAGGCTATTGAATAGAATAGAATAGAATAGAATAGAAAATTCTTTATTGTTAACATTACACAAAGTTACATTAACAAATTTAAAACATTTTACAATACAATGTAACAATTGGCGGCCTTATCGCTTAAAGCGATTTCTTCCAGGCAACCATGGGATGGAAAGAGAGATAACAATTTATGAAGACGGGGGTGTGTAAATATTATCAATAACATTAAAAAGAAAAAATGTTCAAAAATATGTAGTGAATACATTCATAATACAAATATATCCGATAAATACGTAATATACATACACACATACATACAACTACATAGATAAACTTACATAAATATATATAATATATATATATACACATATATATTATCAATACCAGGAATAGTTATACTCGGCAGTAGCAGGATATTTCATTGTGAAAGGTAGAATTCCTTTACACTATTTTTAAAAATTTGCAAAGATTTCGCTTGCCTTATCGAAACTGGAAGGGAATTCCAGAGACGAGCAGCTTGTACAGTGAAAGAAGAATCGTAAAAAGAAGTACAGTGAGATGGAATCTCAAGACTCAGGCTCTCGGATGATCGCAATGTGTAAGAATTTGTGCAGTGCAGGAAACTGAAACGTTCTTTGAGATAATGAGGGTAAGTGGGATTGAACAAAATATTGTAGAGAAGAGATAATAATCGAGAATTCCGGCGAAGTCGTATAGGAAGCCACTTGAGTTCACTGCGATAGTTGGAAACATGGTCATATTTGCGCAAACCAAATATGAATCTGATACAGAAGTTTTGAAGACGCTCAAGTTTATTTAGCTGGTCCTCCGAAAGATCAAGGTAGCAAGCGTCAGCGTAATCGAGAACAGGAAGCAGCAGAGATTGCGCTAACGCAACCTTAGTGGTAGTGGGCAAGAAGTTACGCAGTCTCCTCAGTAAAGCGGCAGAAGCATATAACTTGCGACTGATAGATTGAAGCTGTGGACCCCAACCCAGATGGCTATCCATTACCACCCCCAAATTTTTTACTGTTTGACTAAAAGGAATGTCAACCCCCTCAAAAACAACTTTCGGAAGTATCTGCGTATCAACTCTGGAAAGTAATCTAGAGCTACCTACTATCATGGTTTGGGTTTTAACAGGATTGACGCTAAGACCAAAAGCTCTACTCCATTCTGCAATGAGTTGGAGGTTAAAGTTAGTGTTTGCTATTGCCTCATTTAATCTAGACAGCGGTGCTTCGCAGTAAATTTGGAGATCGTCTGCATAAAGGTGATAGGAACACGAAAGATTATGAGAAATAGAATTAATAAAAATTGCGAACAAGAAAGGAGATAATACGCCGCCTTGGGGTACGCCAGCTTTCGTGTCACACCATGAAGAGAAATTCTCATTAAGGCGGACCCGCTGCCTGCGCCCATACAGATAACTGTGAAACCAATCAATTACCGTTGGAGATATGTTAAGTAAGCGCAGCAAGGCAAGAAGTACATCGAAATCGACCGTATTAAATGCGTTGCTGAAATCCAATAATGTTAGTATTGTCAGATGGCCATTTTCCATCGCAAGACGAATATCGTCAGTAACTTTCACGAGAGTAGTTGTTGTGCTATGACCAGATCGGAAACCGGATTGGAGAGGATTCATTAGGTTATGCCGAGCAATATATATACTGAATTGTTGATGAACAAGACGCTCCAAGACTTTAGATAGGAAAGGAAGAATAGATACAGGACGGAGTTCGTTAAGAAATTTGGGATTACTAATTTTGGGTAAAGGGATAATTTGAGCTTCCTTCCAAGATGAAGGGAATGTGGAATTAGAAATGGAACTGTTGAAGAGAAAAGTGAGGACAGGTAGGATGATGTCAAGGATTGGAATCAACATATTGCGACTGATGCCGTCACTACCAACTGCATTAGAGGTGATTGACAGCACACACTTCTTAACATCACAATCCGCTAATTGATCAAGAAAAAATTGAGAGTGATCTAGGGTTGGTAAAAGAGAAAGACGGTTTAAAGTATAACTTTTGTCGATGTCCTTAATAACAGACGAAGAGGAAAAATAGACATTAAGAGAGTCAATATTAAAGCTGCTAGGGATGGAACACTCTTTTGATTTACCAATCCCAAGTGACCTGAGAAATTTCCAAACTTTTGCTGGATCTTCGTTCTCAACTGATTTATGGATATGGCGACGTAATGCATCCCTACACACCAAATTGCAGCGATTTCGAGCTTTACTGTAGACCTCTTTATTATAAGCACTTGGACGTAATTTATATCTAGTTTTAGCTACCACCTTTTTATGCATTAGTGATTTAATGTCTTCAGTAAGCCACGGTGCAGGCAAGTGTTTTAATTTGATAGGTCGGCAAGGTGCATGCTTGTCATACAACTGAATGATCAGTGAGTTAAAAGCTTCAACTTGTTTATCTACGGTTTGAGCGTCCAATACTGGAGACCAATCAATACTTCGAGCGTCGTCAAGAAGTTGTTCGCGATTTATA